TGCTTTGACCTTACTTGTTTGGTCTACGCATGCTTATGCAATTTTTTTTGAATTAAACATTTTTATTTATTTAATTTGTTTTATTTTAAACGCATTTTATGTTATTAATGTTATAAAAACTTAACTTTATAACCCAGCAACATGAATAGCACCACAAAGTTGTTTTATATTATCACAAGCTCTTTATATTGTCAAAACTTTGCAGATTGTTTTATTGTTGTTTTATAACTTTTTACAATAACAATTCAATACTCTTTAAAAATAACACGTTTTATTGTCAGCATGGATGTATGAAATAGTTTTCTACAACTAATCAAAGTCATTTAAATATTGTAATGTTTACGTTTTTAATTTTATTTTTTTAAGAATCATGTTAAGTAAAAACAATTAATAAAAGTAATATTCTAATAGTATTAAATACTTTACTTGTTCATTACATCATAACTTGCTCATTACACTATAACTGCAACTTAAACTTTAAACTATAACTTAAGCTGTAAATTATAACAGTAAACTACGCTATTTTAAACTAACGCATGTTAGTTTTATGCTAATGCAACCGCCCCTCTTATTGCAGAGAAGCAACAGTAATGAAAGGGGGGAGGCTTAAAAGTTTTTTTTCGCAATTAGATTTTTTTTTGCATTAATTCAAACCTTAAAATCAGCAAACCCATTTCTATTTTTTATTGGTAAAACCTTCGAATCTAATTTTTTTGCAGACCTGATGCTGATCTCTACAAGATTAAGGTCGGCAAATTATTGCAGACCTTAACCATTTTTTCAAATTTCAAGGGCCTAAAAGATATTTGTTTGTTTGTTTTTTGTTTTTGTTTTTTTGCTTTTTTAATAAAAATTGGAAAAATATTTTTTTTTTTGTTTCAAATGGAGTAGTAATTAACTAATTTTTTGTTTATTTTACGGAGTTCATTTTTTCTTTAGGACAATAAAATAAATTAAAAACATGGCATAACTCGTTTAGCATTTAAAACTGTTGTTTAATTACTAGTTAGATTTAAAAAAGTAAATCAAAACTTTTTATGAAACTATAAATACAGGGCTGCCAAGAGCCCTCACGCCGCACAGTGACCCAGATTAAGTTAAAAGCAGCAAAAATTACCTAACTATTAAAAACATGTTCATTAAGCTTACACTATGCATCAAAATAGTGTTTTTTGGGGTCAAGGAATTCAAATTAATAACTTAAAATTATTTTCACATGCACTTATTACCCATATAACGCACATGTACGCGTCAAAACGCGCGTTAGAGGACTTTGTATTTGTAAATAACATTTTTAATAAAAAACTTAGCTTCCTTGACCCAAACTATACCATTATTTTATTATTTCACAAACGCTCGCGAATTTACTAAATGCGCACAGACGCATAACAAAGAGCGTTATGAGTCTTTAACGCAATCTATAATACAAAAATAAACAAGTCAGAATATTAAAATTTTTTTACAATTTAAATTACTAATAAGTTCACTACTTCTGGAGGCAAAGTTCTGCCTTGATAACTCCTGTGTTTTACAAATGAAATACTTGAGATTTTTGGATCCGATCTTATCAAAAGGTACTGCATCTGATCTTTCATTGTGTTAATTCTTGATATTTTTGTTGTATGATGCAACCTTACATTTCGAATTTGCTTGTTTAGACTTTCCTGAGCTTCCTTAGAGTATTGGGCAAATCAAATTGCTTTGAAATGGAGCAACCATGTTACAGAATTTTTTTTATAAAATTACCATATTTATTAACTATAATTTTAGCTGTATCAGTACAATAAACTTCAAAGTGATTACTATCAATATGGTAACCAGAAGATAATGTAATAAGGGCAATGTGCATTCTTTTTATAACTTCCATATCAATCCCTGTTATTTCAGAGAAATCCACAGAGTTCTCAAATGCTCTTCTTGAAGTATTTCCATCATTGCTATTACCAAAGCCTACTTTGGACTGGTCAATAATGAGACTCAACTTTTCTCTGAACTTTGATTTAATAAAATTCTTCTATAAATTTACAGTAAGCTTCTCTTCTTCAGTTCTGGCTTGAAACTTCTGGATTTCCATTTTATAACCTAAATGTAAGATGAATTTAAAAGATCTTGTCCAACAGTGCAAATTTGAAATACCTAGTTTAAGGGCTTTCTCATTAACAGGCTTTTTTTTTTATTTTTACTAAATCTATATCAATCATCTCTTTGGGCTTACAACCACACACATTACAAGACTGAGTTGACTTAGTGTCAGTCAATGAATTTATTACTTTTCCATCAAACATAGTCATATCAATTTTAAAAGTAACCTTAATAGTTATTACTGTACCAGCAATATTCAAATCTACTGAGAAGGGTTTTAACTGATTCATTTGAGTTTGAAGATCAGTTTCTTCTTTTTTGCACAACTCTGATGTCTCTTTTTTATATTGCAGGTGAAGAGGTCTACAAAAATGGCAGCTAGAACTTATAGAATTTTTCCAAAAGTCAATGTTTTCAACTTGAAACAGAAGATGTACAATTGCTGTGCTAAACAGGCAATCTTCTTGCTTTGATTCTTCAGTAAAATAAGGTTATCTAATTTTTTTTATGTAAATACTTTGACTTGAAGCTCCATCAAACCCAATTTTTACATATAAAATTCCATTCATCTTAACTTTACAACTTTCCTTTAAATCAATCATATCTGTATTCCTAGTAACTGTATGATTTAGCATACTTTGTAATGAGCATTTTGCTGACATAAATTTAATACCTGACAGTAAATTGAATACCTTCAGGATAACATTTCAGCTTTTCTTCACCAAGCTTATTAGGACTATGATATATTTTTATATTGTGAGAAAGAATTTCTTAACATTTGGTATTGTAAATTACAAAAGTCAGTTTGCATTTTCAGAGCAAGAGTTGTTTGAGTCAAGGAATCAATACTTCTTCTCATCTGAGCTACATCAACACATTTAGAAGTTCTTTTTAAAATATAAGCTGAATCTTTTTCTTCTGCTACTTTAGCACTTCTTTGATGCTGCAAGAGAGAGAGCTACATAATGTTTTTAGCATTAGCTAAATCTGCAATCTTTGCTTTGGAATTATTTCGGATTTTTTGATAAATTCGATAAGTATTTCAGAAAGTGCTTCGTTATTTGCTTCAGATTCGCAAATTTTTAAAAATAGATCCAACCTTTTCATTTTACTTTTAAAACTTAATTTTTTCTTTACCAAATTATATTATGATTAGACTTATTTAATTTTCAAAATAAAAGGTAAATACTAGATTATATATTATTACACAAACGTTCGAAAACCTTTTTTTAAATCGAATGCATGAATCAATTTAAAATATCTTCTTAAGGAGCGAAAAAGTTGCAGCAAATACTGTAGGGTTTACTTGGTTATAGTTTAGTGGTTTTGTTTTACTAGAAGTAAATGTGGAACAATGTAGAACTTTTTTTTGGCTGACACTTATGTACTAAACTTGTGTAATAAAACTTTAATTTTTAAAAGAAAAATCAAAAAGAACTTGTTTTTTTAATCTAAAAAAAAAAGTAAATAAATTTTAATATCTAACCACTCATTACTTTAACAAAAATAATAATAAAGATTTGTATGGAGGTGAAAAACAAGGTTGCTTACAAGATAACCATACCTTAAATTTTCATAATTTTATGGTGATAAAGTTAACTTTTTACGCATATATCCATTTAAAATTACACAATAATATCTGTGAAATTATTTAAAGTTGATTTAGACCAAAAAGTAGATTACTTTAAAATTTTAAGTGTAAAAACGATAAAACTTTTTTTTTTTCCCCGGACTTTTTGCCATTTTCAGGTTAATCTGGGTCACTGTGCGCCGCCTGGGACAGTAACCATGAAATGCGCCCTTACTTATCAAAATTTCCTACATTATAGATGAAGGACTTATTTTCTCTTTTAGGTACCTTTTTTCATTTGGCACCCCTTGGTTATCTGCTGCCCGAGATAAACTGTCACTTTTGCCCCCCCCCCCTCTTGGTGGCCTTAATTTTCCCATAATTTTCTTAGTATTTTTTTTCTAAGTTTATATTCATCAACAAATTTCAATTTTCATGCAATAATCTCTAGTGTTCAGTTCTTATGACCATACAAAGTTTACAGCCCCCTCAAATTGAGGGGGGTTAAAACTTTATATGGTCATAATTTTTGAAAAATAAAAGATTATTGCATGATATTTGAAATTTGTTGATGAATATAAATTTATATAAAAACACTAAATAAAATATTTTATAAACTTGTTGCTCCCACGTTTAGGGCTGGGTGGGCCCAAAATTGGTTTTTTTTTGTCCCTAAACTCCAATCACTGCAACTCTTTGCAAAACATTCTCATTTGACATAAGCATGAACATACAAAAGTTTGGAGTTTGCACAATGCCTGTAAGTGTCAACTCAAACATCTAAAAATCCAGTGTATATATATACGCCACTGTTTATATATATATATATATATATATATATATATATATATATATATATATATATATATATATATATATATATATATATATATATATATATATACATATTACTTATTAATCAGGTATTAATGTTATAGCGTTTGTGTTTTTTTCTTTACTTTATTTAAATTTTTTTTACACATTTTATCTATGCATTAACAGAGGATGACTATATCATAGTTAAAATATGCATTTTAAAGAAAATGAATATAAAGTTATTAAAAATAAAATTATCTTATCTATCATATAAATACTTATACTAAAAATACTTTTAGTACAAAATAAAAAGATAAAATGTAAATATGTTGTGTAGACTTACAGGCTTGTATCTTAAGGCCAGACAAAAGATTGTATATTTAATAAGAAATAAAAACAATTCTAAACACTTCTATTTTGAGAAACAGATTTAATAAAAAAAAATTTTCACAAAATAGCTAAATTCTAATACATTGCTAAGCAACATATTGTGATATAGCTTTTACTAAATTTACTTAAGGAAAAAAAGTACCTGCATTTTCAATTCGACCTGGTCAGATTCAGAAAATTCAGAAACTTGCCCTGGATCATCATTGCCTTCATTTACAGATAATGCCATATAAAAACTAAAGCAAAACAAAAATTAACATTAAAAAGATTATAAACAAATGATAAAACCAAATAGATTGTGCACATTTAAAGTTTATGCTGACTTAAATAAAAACAGTTTTTCAGAAAACGAAGAAGAAAAGAAGAATATTGAAGAGAAAAAATATATACATTTTTGCTGTAATTAAAGTCCTTCACTTTCTAAATGATACCTGCTTAAACCCAAACACCCTCAGTTAACTAAAGCCTCTGCAGCTCAAATTAGAAATTTAAAAAAAACTTATGCTGAGCTAAGATTTTTTTTTTAATTTCTAACTTCTAAATGCAGACATAAAAAAAGTCTTTGTCTATTAGTCTGGCGCAGATGTATTTTTAATACATTGTTTCCAGTTTAGGATGTTGAATGCTGAATCATTTTTAACTCAATGCATGGGTTTTGCTTGTGTCTCTGTTTTTATGACTAGGCAACTCATTCTATTATCTCCTAACGAGAGTACAGCTCTAAAACTCAGTTTTATGGTTCTGAGGCCGGCTAGTCGTCAGGTTTCCCGAACTCTGTGGTAGCTCTCAGAGAGGCTTATTCCATCAAAAGCTGAAAACAGTGCCAAGTTGCGCATAGATGGTGCCCTTGTTCGCACTTCTGGTGTGCATTGTCGAGACCATATTTGGAGCCGTTTGGTACGGCTTAGGGTTTTTCTAATAGTGAGGCAATTGCTTGGGGTATTAAACAGTGTACTGAGTACTGTCTATACTTTGAATCAAGTTCTTACACAAATTTTAAAATGAATAAAGTACCAAAAACTATAAAACACAAATAAACCATTGTCATCACCAAGTTCTCTAAACCTTATTCAGTAATATTGGTTATACTCATTATTCACTAATATTGATGGTCTTCGAAGTAACTTTTCTTCTGTTGAGTCTTATCTCTTGTAAAGTTCACCAGACCTACTTGCTTTTTGTGAGACTAATTTAAGTTCATCTGTCTCATCTTATGATCTTATTGTTGATGGTTATCTTCCTTTGATTCGTAAAGATTCCTATTTGTTGGAAAACTAGGATTGAATCTACAGACAATTCTTTTATGGGCTTTCATTTAGCACTACTTCACTCTATCCCGTTTCTTTTGTTCTATATCGCTCTCCTTCATCTCAAAACTGCACTCTTTTTGATATTATTTCTGATCAAAATGGCCAAGCTCTCTTTCTTTATCCATCAGCAAATATTGTTTCTGTTAGCAACTTTTTATGCTCATCATACTGAATGGCTATAGTGTCAGTGACTTTGCTGGCGTTAAAGCCCATAACTTTTGCCTTTTCTCAATCCCTAATTCAAATAGTCAACTTTCCAACTTGCTTTACAGACAACCCGAATCATTTTCCTTCTCTACTCAACTTATACCACCCAAATTAAAATTTAAGGACTTTTTTTTTAAAAAAAAAAATATTGCAAATATTATTTTTTTTGCAAATAAAACGCCGATATAACGTTGAAGTTTGCCGGAACAAGGGAGTGCATCTCGTGACATCTGAAAAATCTTTAATAGTATCAATAATAAGGGCAAATCTATTATTTCACCTCTTATGTTTGGTTCACACTTTGCCACCTTACCAATAGACAAGGCTGAAATTAACAAACACTAAATCTCTCATCTTGAGTCTAATAACTTACTTTCTGATCATCAATATGGATTTCAATCTTCTTTTTCTACAGCTAATATGCTAACAGTAATAACCGATAGGCTTTATCGTGCATTAGATAAAGGTGGCAAGGTTAAGGCTATTGCTCTTGGCATTCCTAAAGCTTTTGATAAAGTTTGGCATGCTGGTCTTCTCCATAAGCTTTCTTCTTACGCTGTATCTGGTAACATCTTTAAAGATTATTGAGTCCTTCCTTTCCAATCGTAGTATGAAAAGTTGTCCTCGATGGATAGCACTCTTCTACATATCCTGTTACTTCAGGGGTACCTAAAGGTTCAATCCTTGGCACTATACTCTTTTTAATTTACATTAACAACCTTCCAGATATTGTTAATGTAAACTAAAAAGAGTATCGTGCCAAGATATTGTTAATGTAAATTAAAAAGAGTATAATCTTTTAATTTTAAATAAAATTAAAAGATTATACAGATAAAACGCAATTTTTTTCAGTTAATCATTATCATAATAATTTAGACCTTCCTCTATTTATGGAAGGTAATGTACTCGATGTGTCAACTACCCTTAATCTTTTAGAATTAACTCTTACTTCTGATCTTTCTTGGAAACCATATATCAAATCAGTTGCAAAATTACCATCTGCTAAGGTTGCATCTCTTTATCGTGCTCAACACTTTCTTATTCTGGATTCTATTCTCTATTTCTATAAATCTCAGATCTGGTCTTGTATGGAATACTGTTGCCATATCTTGGGCGTATCTTATA